CAGGTCCTGATGGATACACAGCTGAGTTCTACAAGAAACTTAGAAAAGATTTAATGCCATTGCTTCTCAAACTCTTCACTGAAATAGAAAGGAAAACAGTACTCCCAAACTCATTCCTGGAAGCAAGTATTACCCTGAAGCCAAAACCAGAGAAGGATCCAACCAAAAAAAAAGAGAACTACAGACCAATCTCCCTACTGAACATAGATACAAAAATCCTCAATAAGATACTGGCAAGCAGAAAGCAGCAGATCATGAAGAGGATTATACACCATGACCAAGTAGAATTCATTCCAGGTATGCAGGGTTGGTTCAATATATGCAAATCAATAAATGTAACATACTACATCACACATTTTTTTAAGATCACTCGTGTCTTTTTCCTGTACTGTATTTGAAGCCGTACACTGCTTTTTTTCCGTTTTTTCCCTAGCAGCTATCATAGTGCCTGGTGCATGACAGATATTCAATAAAGTTCAATTGAACTATTAATAAAGTTGATCACAGAGCACACTCTCCCATCCCTTACGGTCCCAAGGTGCTGTAGACAGCAGCCAGACTAAACTAGTCATTACTTTTCTCATATATCCCCAGCTTCAACAGCTGTACTTTTGACAAGACTTGGGCCATCTTCCTCATCACATACCAATAATTTTCTAAAACCTTTTCCATCCTTCTAAGATCATCCTTAGTCAGTCCTCAGAGTTCTAGTGGAAGTCTTCTATCACATATATAGACTCTTCTTCTTTCTAACATCCCTGAGCAAGTATGGCATTATTGTGCTGGTGCTGTCACTATCAGCTAACATCATCAAAACCAACATGGCACTGATTAAACATTCCTATGGACTGCTATTTTAAAGCATTTAAGTTCAGCTTTTTCTCTTGATTATTAAGCTAAAGTCTCATTAGTTTGTTAAAAATAACTGGCTGTTGTTTCCATCATCCACTCACTGTGAGTCAGGGTACTTGAGAGCAGATGCTGAACCCACCAAGCCATGCAGTCCAGCTTCTTGTTCCAGCCATCCTCTAGGTTAGCATTAATTATAAGAAACATCAGAGGCCAAGGAATCATTTGGCCCATGCTTCCCCCACCATTTTTACCAATATAATTTTATCAGTATTCCCCGTCATCCCCAGTAGAAGGCTGCCTCCACCTCGATGCATTGTCATTTTCTCAGACAGACCATCTCTGACCACTGAATCCAAGATAGTTCAAGCCTATTTTATTCCTTATGTGCATTTTTCATAGCTCTGTGATTTCTGGGTCAAATGCTTTGATGATGCCTATTTCCTCTGCAAGTCTTCAATCTCCGTGACAGAGCAGATCATAAACACTTTGTTCTTGCGGAGACAGGCATCTCTCAAATCACCATTTTGTGTTACATATTTTGTGAATGTTTTCTCTAAGTTTGCTGTGCAGATTTTAACCTTATGTCAAATCTGTTAATCTTTCTTTCACAGATTTAGAGATCTTGTTATGTATATTTTTAATTGGTTCCTTGGAAATACTTCTAAAGATTAAAAAGTTAAGTAGGCTTCTCTTTAAGGGTTCTGATGCATTTTGTCAAATTGGCCACTGCCTGTCCTCCAGCAAAAGTGCGATTGCATTCTTAAAAATTAACTGGTAGCTTTATATTACTAAATTTTGCCATGGAAGCCAAATAGAGTTGTTTAATATAAGGTAACAGTGTACCTGAAAACTTCAAAAAATTAGGATATCTCAAGCAGGGATTCTCTCTTCAGCACTGTCTGCAAGGGGGAACTTTTGATTACATTTCCCAGCATTAAATAGGGGTCTTTCCATGGTTTTGTAGGAATAGGGATCTGTAGACAAAAAAATATATAATAGGAGCGTCCTTAGGTCTTCTAGCTAATCCTGACTAAAAAGAGCTAAAAACAAACTTTATTAGAGGGGTTTCCTTAAAAAATAAATCAAAGACAGGGATTTTTTAAAAAGATTTTTTAAAAAAAAGACAAATAGTCTTGAGACTTGCACTGAGACACTGAAAAAAGAGCTGACAGGTAAGACAGAAAATGCCAGGTGCACAAATGCTAAGCTGCCTCTACCTCCAATAAAATACAGATAAAACAAAGGGGGTGGCTGACCAACTTTAAGACAATATGTTCTTGGGGCTGGGGATTTAGCTCAGCGGCAAAAGCGCCTGCCTGGCAAGCGCAAGGTCGTGAGTTCGGTTCCTGGTACCGGAGAAAAACCAAACCAAAAAACAAAAAAGACAATATGTTCTCACACCTATGCACTAACATAGACACTTATACATGTGTAATCACTCTAGTATCACTATAAAGTACAATAGCTATCCACACACCCCTTACTAACTCTAAGCTAACCATAAATAAGGTACCCCCTTGCCAGCTAGCTCTCACCCCAAAGATAAGGCCTTAAAATGTACATAAAAGACAAGCAAACAGACAAAAGGAAGCTAAACATAAACCACCAAAAAATGACCTTAAGCAAAAGTGCCCAAAAGCCAGTCCACCTATGACAAGTAGAAGGAAAGAAGTCACTCACCCCTCCCATAAAAACAGCTAAAAACAAAGGGCTTACAAGTCCTCCATCTTTCCAGAGTCCCTTATCCTGATTCCTTCTTATCAGGGTAGCTATCTATCTTCTCCTTCCTCCTTCCTTTTTCCTCTTTACAAATAAAATGCCTTTCTCTTGTGAAACTTCATCTCTCAAATTTATGATTGGGGCTGAGTTATGAGACCATAGAGCTACTCAGACAACAGAGCAGTGGTGCTCGTCCCCCAGAACAGTCGGGCTTTACACAAAGAAACACATGTATTTGTTCATACCAGTTGTCCCCAAATGCTCTTTTAGCTTCACCTTTGCTCCAGTTGAACCAGCTCCAAGATCTGTAGTCAGTTTGAGAACAGAAATGCCACTCTCTTCCCAGGCTACTCTCTAATCATGGTAACACATGACATCTTAGCCAACTAGGTGAACAACATGACCTGACCATTCCAGCTCAGCCACCATCAATGTTGCCAATTATAATAAGAGTTCCCATCATACCGAGATGACATAGGGAAACGCAATGCACTATGACAGTAACCTGGTAAATATTATTGGATAGGCTATCATGGAGACATTTTGGTGACCTCAGTTCACTTCTGCCCTTAAGTTATCTCTGGGACTGGGATGACTCCACCTGATCTTTCATCACGCCATGCACATAGGCTGAACACTCAATGGACTTGAGGAAACGGGACTTTCCTAAGCTAGTCCACTGTGTACTGCTGTACGATTCCACTACTTTCCCTCAGAAGATTAAAGTATGAATCTTTGTAATATATACTTTACCTACTCCTGCTGCCGCACATGCTAAGAAATGTACCCTTTATTTCTGTCCTTAGGATGTAATCCAGAGAAAGAAAGATTTTTAATCTTAAACTCTCTTACTTCATCAAGAACAGTCTATTTAGTCTTTTGGCTTTTTGAATATATGTCCATGCTTCATAAAGTCATGTAAATATTAGCTAAATGGTTATAAGAACAAATTGGAAATTACAGTGGTATCAAAACCTTTGTACAAGTGGAGATTCTACTAGAAACTTGCTCATGTTCCCACAACTGATTCACCCTGAATGGTTGTATTTTAAGTTGCTACATCTTTATGGTATTTAGCTTTTATGTCTCTCCCATGTATAGTAGACTTTTAATTCACCCCAGGATCACCTATCAACATCCTTAAGGACCCACGCTCACCCTCAGTGGAAGATTATGAATAGTGAGCTGTTCACGGAGCTGTTTCTTATAGTTTCAAGCAAAATATTTGAGCAAAAAGGGAAGTCACAAATCCTGGACAATCTATGGGTAATGGATAGGCAAAAGAAGAAATGGTAGGAAAGCTAACAGGTTACGCCATCCAGGTCAAACAAAAGATGGAGTCAGCCAGGACTGATGGGAGATGGACTTGAGAAAAGTAAAACTAATGTTCATTAACACTTTAACGGAAAAGTCACATAGGCAGCAAGTATGGGAGTCCGGTTCTCAGAGAATTTGTACTTGAGACATAACCTAAAGCTCTGTCTGGTTACTCACTGAGATCTCTAGAGAAAGGCAGCAATAGAGTCAGGATCACCTATGACTTTCAGATTCCCTCAATGTGCTTGTCAAAAGCAGGGACAGGCAGCAAAGGGTTTGCTGCTTTCTGTTTTAATAACAGACCACCATCTCAGCATCTTTAGTTCCCATTCATTAAATCTGAAACCAAGCGCCAGCTTCCCCAAGCACTGTGGCTTCATTCCGCAGTCCCTTTAGAGTGGGAAAGGAGGTAGAATCAGAGGTTTTTTTGCTAAGATAATGTGTTTCAACCACTGCACTAACCTAACAAGTACTGAGTAGTAACAACATCGGGTAGGAACCACAAAGGTGCATCAGAAGCTATCTCTACTCTGATCTCTTTTGGGGGAGGGGATCAGGGAGGCACAAGAACCTACAGAATTATAGTATGTTGTAACTTGGTAAGTGACAAAGACCTGGAAGGCGTAAGCAGCAATGAGGGAAGACGTCTTGGAGGGGTTAGTTTGTGCAGATAGCATCGAAAGGCTCCCGCCAAGATCTGAAGGAAGCACAATTCAGACAGTGGGACATTCTCTATGGGAGAAAAAAGCAGTCAAAGTGATAGATTGGTCCGTTTTTGTGACGTTTTTAATGAACAGAATTAGTGTTCTGGAGGCGAACTGATCCGTCTCATCACACGATAAAAGTACGTGGGATTCTTTCCTAAAGTGAAGCAAAAAGAACGGCCAGTTCCGCGGAGTTCTTCTCGCCGCTGGTGAATCACCAGGAAAACTTTCAATTGCTCAGTCCTTCCGCTGTCCAATGGCAAGGACGCCCATACTTTTGCTCGCTGCTGATTGGCTAGTGCAAAAGTCCTCTCTGAGCAACGACCAAGGAGCTCTCGGCGGCCCCCTTCTTGCAACCTGTTTCTGGTCCCGGTCTGGAATGCGTGACATTGAGACAGCTTGGGAGTTGTAAACAAGGACAAGCCGGGGCTGGCCCCCGCCCACGCCACCTGGGCCGGGTCCTCGGAGACCGATCCAGAGTCCACCTTGTCTGGCTGTCCGCTCCGGCTAAATGCTGCTGGCCTCCTTCCCACCCTTTACCCTCACAGCCCCGGGCGGCCGTGCCAGGCCCTCCGCGGTCACTGTGCCAGGCCATTCTGCGGGAAGCACGTCGGGGGGCGGGGCCTAAAGTTCTTCCTCCCCAGCGATTGGCGTGGCCCCAAGTTCTGGAAGTGTCTGCCAGTCCCGGGGACGCCTCCGGGTTGGCGCTGGGGTGAGAGCACAGCGGGACAAATAAAAGGCGGCGCGCGGGTGCCGGGAGACCGAGTCTCAGCCCCTGCACCTGCGACCCGGCGCAGCACCCGCACCCGCGCCCGCACTGCACCTGTGCGCTCCCTTGCCCGGTTCTGCGCGCGCTCCTGCCCAGGGCATCAGGATGAAGGCTGCCCGCTTCGTGGTGCGCAGCGCCGGCTCCCTGAGCGGCGCCGGCCTGGTGCCCCGGGAGGTCGAGCTCTTCTCGCGCTACAGCCCGTCCCCGCTGTCCATGAAGCAGCTGCTGGACTTCGGTGAGCGGGGCGCAGAGCGGGAGGGTGGCCCCGGGGGTGCGGGCCGGCCCCCGACTTTGGGGCCCCAGGTTGGAAGGGCTGGGCTTCGGGGAAACACCAACCAGGGACCCCTCTGCTGCTGAGCCCAGGCCTGTTCCACGATGTACCTGCTTGCAGACGTTTTGGGGTGCAGGTCAAGGCCCCCGACAACCCTGCTGCAGCTGGGTGGCTTCAGCTCATCTTTTTTCTTCTGTTTTGCCTGGATCTTGGAGTCATAAAATTTCGCTTTCAGTCACCATGGACTAGAAACTTGGTCTCCTCCTTCACAATGTGGTATTTCTGGGAGAAGATGCTTAAGATTATAAAGTAGCCACAAATCAATAGATTTTATCCCTTAACCACCCTCTACCTCTGCACAGGGGACTTCACTTCGAATTCCCAACAGTCTTCTTTGTCTTATAACCGCTCTGATTTTCCAAATATTTGTATGACTGTTGAAAATATTTATACACTTGCCGCAAAGATCTTAAAAAACAGCGTCAAGTGTTTAAAAGTGATGTTGTTTACCGCCACTGTACAAACGTCACGACCCCGGCTTCGTCTCTTCCCACTCCTTTGGCACGTGAAGACCCATTGAAGGACATCGTATTGGCGATATTTTAGGGGTCACTGACTCCTGCACTTTTTCATAAATACTAAGACCTATGGGATTTCTGCCTTCTTGGAAGTGAATATTCCTTGAAAACAGGAAACAATAATTTCCATGAAAACAGGAAACAATAATTTTCAATTTTTCAAAAAAGAAGACAGAAGAAGCCTATAAAGACACCTGCTCCTCAATTACTCATAAACAGTAACCCAACTAAGGGTGACATATAACTTTCTATGCGTGTACGTTCAATATTTGATAGTTTATGATTTCTGAATATTTCATTTAGATGTATTGCTTTCCAAACACTAAATAAATCTCATTTATTATAGGTTCGCACAATGCATGTGAAAGGACTTCTTTTGCATTTTTGAGACAAGAATTGCCTGTGAGGCTAGCCAATATCCTGAAGGAAATTGATATCCTTCCTGATCGATTAGTGAATACCTCTTCGGTACAGTTGGTTAAAAGCTGGTAAGTGGTGAATCATTTTTGAAGTCTGTAGTTTTAAAGTTATCTGAGTATGGTTTCTTATATTAATTCCATAACTGGGAGACAGGTGGTCTACACAGTAAATACTTTCAGAAGATGCAAAAAAATTTATTTACTCTGGGTAAGTTATCATTAGGGCAGTTGTAAAGCTAGAAAGAGATTTTTTTTTTTGTTTGGTACCGAGAATTGAACTCAAGATCTTGTGCTTACCAGACAAGCACTTCTGCCACTAGAAAGAGACCCTAGAAAGAGATTTTTTTTTTTAACCTGTAAAACTAGACTCGTTTACAATATAATTCTCTTTTAGGAAGTGATTCGGAAAATAATGCTCATGTGCAGTTTTAATTTTGTATTTTACATAATAAAAGACAGAGTTTGACATTATAAAAGATACTCTATGCCTAGAAGTGATTCAGATGGGTACTGCTTAGGAAGTAGTCAAATTCTGCCTCTGTCACTCTTTAGTTGTGGACTCTTTGGCAAGTGCTTGAAACTCTCTATGCCTCAATTCTCTCAGGAAGGAGGATAAATTATAAGTCTCAAATGGATGTTTGAGTATGAGTGAGGTAGTCCATTAAGAAAAGCTTAGAACAGCACTTAGTACACAGCTAGTAGTCAGTGACTGTGACTATAATCTCATTTTACAGGTAAGGATACTGATGCTTAGAGAAAGTAGGTAGCCCAGAAAAGCAGATTTTTCAGAGAACAGAATTGGGATGTACACTAAAGCACACATACCAAGACCTTACCCTAGTCCACTGACTGCACAGCTATTTGTTCACTAAGTCAAGAAATATATGTGTTCCACACTCATAAGGAAGTTAGAGGCAGAAACACAGACTCAAACTGTAGAATTTCCTGCTGTGGCCCATACTTTTCTATCCACCTGTTCTTCTCTTCTTATAGTGGAAAAATATGAAGCCTATTTTTTAAAAAAAAAAATATACTTCTAAAGGTTTTTACTATAAAAAAAAATATTTGTCAAAATGGTTAGGGAACTGAATACGACTTGGAACAGTTTGAAGAGGCACTTTAAATTAAATTTTACATTAGAAAGTTGAGAAAAGTTGTAGATTTTAAATTTATGACATGTAACCTTCCTAGTGTTCTGAAGGAAAGTTTTCATTTCAGACATAATGCTTGCTGTCTTTCTTCAGATCATTTCAAAAAGGCATTTCGTTTTCAACCATTTGGATCTATTGACGTTATAATAAAGCACCCTTGTTGCTTTGCAGGTATATCCAGAGCCTAATGGACTTGGTGGAATTCCATGAGAAAAGCCCAGATGACCAAAAAGCCTTATCAGAGTAAGCTCTATGCATTGGAATAAACGTTTCAAACCTTGGCTGTTCGCTGACATACTCCTAAGCGTATGCCCCAAATGGTTAGCCCTAAATTAAAGGGGCTGCAACCCTGAATAATAAATAACTATCCCCTTACAGATGACAAATTTTGCTCTATTGTGTTTTTAGACATAAAGAATCATGGTATTGAAAACTTGATGCCGAGTATGTAAAAATATAGACAATTTGGTGTTCCCCTTTTCCTGCAAGGAATTCCACTTTTACTTTAAGTTTAGGATTAATGAGATTTTTCAGGAGAATTTACTATTACAAAATTTTAAAACATTTCAATGTCATTGTAGATTGTACACGTTCTTTCAGAGTAACTGGCAGTTTCTAACTACCCAAAAAAGAATTTTTTCTAAATCTAACAAGAATTTTTGAGATTTTTTTCACAATGATATTCAAAAGTGATTTTTGCCTTTTTTTTTTTAAAGAAAAGGCTAAACGAACAGTTTATAATGAATGCACTGGCCACAGATCTGGTAGTTTTCATGTTTTCAACCTAGAAACAAAACGTATCTATTTGTGAAACTATCTCCTCTCGCGTAGGAGAGGAATCCTTACTAAGAGCCCTAATAAAGCTCACCCAGCCATTTTATCATTTGATTTATTTAGAAGAATCCTTCTTTGAAGCAATCTAAAAACAAGAAATGAATGAAGCTTACCTTTCACTAACTGTAAATCTAATGGCTTAGATTTGTAGATACGCTCATCACAGTTCGAAATAGACACCATAACGTAGTCCCTACGATGGCACAAGGAATCATAGAGTATAAAGATGCCTGTACAGTTGACCCAGTCACCAGTCAAAACCTCCAGTACTTCTTGGATCGATTTTACATGAACCGCATTTCTACCCGGATGCTAATGAACCAGCACAGTAAGTGAGCTTATCAGGATCGTGATTATATAGATGTGATTGCAGATTATGAGCCATGCTACAAGTACATGTCCCGTTCACCAGGGGTCACAGTTCTTTCTCAATGGTAGCTCCAATCATTATCCTGATTTTTAGTAACAACGTGTTTTGTTTTTATTTGTCAACAGTTCTTATATTTAGTGATGAGAAGACAGGAAACCCAACCCATATTGGAAGCATTGATCCAAACTGTGACGTGGCAGCAGTGGTCCAAGGTAATGTCTAGATTTCTGTTGATCCTTTTGGAAACCATATAATATGTGATTGTCATATCTGTAATCAAGGTGACTCTGAATGAATTTATGTTCACAGCACTTCATTTATATTTTTATAAATGTTCCATCAAGTTCCTTTGCTTTTGAGAATTAGGAATAAAAACACTAATTTATAATATTAAGAAAAACTTAAACATGAATGGCTAAGATGCCATATACTTACATATTATATATGATCTGCAAAGTGCACATATTCCTATTACTAGAGCTAGAATCGACTAAGTATTAGTTTTCAATAAAGCGTTAAAAAGACAGCTTCCATATACATAAACCCGTATTCTAGCAAATGCTTTAGATTAAGGGTAGCACACACATAGACAATCGCTTGAAAACCACAATTGTCATGAAATCACTTCATTATTGTGAAATGTTATGTATTCCAGATGCCTTTGACTGTTCAAAGATGCTCTGTGAACAGTACTATTTAACATCTCCAGAAATGAAACTCACACAATTGAATGGTAAGCTACGAATAACATGTGCTTTAATCTATAGGAAACTCAGTACTATTCCAGTGCAATTATTTTTTTATGAATCATACTTTTGTAAATACTTTCTTCTCCTGTGAACTTGCCTAAAATTTATTTATGTACTTGAACCCCCTTTTCTCAATACTTCTCACAACTGGAAAGCTCCATTTGTGCATATTCAGCTACTAATGATAATTCCTAAAAGATAATTTGAACAAATAAGTTGAGATTTAAAGAGCAACTAAGTTCGAGTATCTCAGTCAAAGAAAGATTAGTTATTATAGGATGTGAAGGGTAAGGAATTCGGAAATAGGGAAAACATTTAGCACTGGAAATATCTTCCACAAAGGTTATTCACAACACCTAGAAACAAAAATACTTTAAATTGCACTATAAGAGATGTGTTAGTCACAGAATGACAGCTAGTGCATGATTCCATGTACATGAGACATCCAAAATAATCACACAGAAGCAGAAAGTAAAGTAGCAGCTGCCAGGGGTTAGAGGGAGGGAGAAATGGAGACTTGCTATTCAACAGGTCTAGAGTTTCAATTATGCAAGATAAATAAGTTTTAGAGATCTACTGTAACAATGTAGTACCTATAGTTAACAACACTGAATTGTGCATTTAAAATTTGTTAAAGAGAGTAGAACTCATGTTAATGCTCTTATCACAATAAAAAATGTACTATGAATATATACACTGTTTGAAAGAACATACTTTATTTTTGTTGTTATTGTTTGGTTGGGTTTTTGGTTTGTTTTTGTTTTTGTTTTTGTTTTTTTAGTACCAGCAATTGAACTAAGGACCTTGTGTTTGCCAGGCAGGCGCTATGCCATTGAGCTGTATCCCTGGCCCAAAAGAACATACTTTAAAAGCTTCAATGCTAGGGTATCTACCAAGGTTCTCCCCATACCGAAGTGATTACATGACCATTGAAAGGCACTATTCTTTTCCTATCCTGTCCTGTTCTGGGTAGATAGTTATATCTCAAAGCAAAGCAGTGTACAGAAATTAGAACAACCTTCCTTGTGTAATTCAAAGTAAACATCTTTTCCAAGTAACAATTTTTATCAGTGTCAAGAATTAAAATCAACTTGCTTGAATTAGGAGTACAGTAATTTAACTCACAGATTGGGGTCAAACAAATGTGGGTGAATGCTTAACTAAATTCAGAGTACAAAGATCAAAAAACATCTCTAAATATAAATGGCATTGTTGCATAATACTTGTAGATAAACTGCTGGAACTGTCTGATAAAACACAGAGGGGATTGTCCTAGGCCCTGTGTTTTTGAATCAAACTTTGCCAAGGCTAGGATACCAAAGAATAACACTTCTATTTTTCTTTTCACACAGTATCATGAGGTTTTTGTTTCTCTGTTTTCTTTACCCTTTTTGTGAAGTTAAAGCATACCAAAAACCCCTCAGATATATTATTTTACCATGCATGAAAATTCAAAAATTGTAGTTAGAATTAATTTCAAGGTTATAATGTAAGCAACATTCTTTCTCTTTTCTTAAAATGAATGTAATTTAAAATCTGAAATTCTCCAGTACAAGCATGTTGAAAATAGAAACAATCCACATAATCCAACTTATAGTATCATTGTTTCACACTTTATTCAACTTCATACATTAGAAATGTAAAAATTACTTATAGAGTGCTAAGTAGCAACTGAATAGCATTTTAAAAATAAGCCAGTTGTCTTTACTACTGGTAGAAAAGTTTTACAGGAGAATTTTTGGGTAGGAAGGATGGAAACTATTACAAACCTTGTTTAAAATCTAAACTATTAGTCAAATACATATGGAGGTTTATTTTAGTGAAATATGTCTTGTTTCTCAAGTCTAAATAAATTTTATTTTTCTAGTTAAATCTCCAGGCCAACCAATTAACATTGTGTATGTTCCGTCTCACCTTCATCATATGCTCTTTGAATTATTCAAGGTATGACTATCTATAATAATTGTGATTTTTGTCTTTAAAATAGTTCACTAGGTATATTTCTATTTCCTTCATCATTCCTCTCTAAACCACAGCCTCAATAGCTTCTCCTAAGCATAGTTCAGTGCTTGGAACAGAAAGAAGTAACACAGGTAATATTTGCAAAAGTACATGCACTTCACAGTAACACCAATATATGTTTTAGAATGCACAAACTGATTCAGGACATGTCATGATTTAGAATGCTCCCATTATTTTCCAAGTGTCCAAAAAGCACCAGTGAATAAAGCTGCCTTCCTCTATCTCCTCAGGCTTTTCCAGCTCAAAACACAAAGACTCAAATCCAGAGTTACTATCAGTGATCCATCCACATTCTGAGTCTAGAATACACTCAGAGAGCAGCCAGCACCTCCAATGATCTACTTTAACGTACAGAATGACATAGAGACTTGGTTAAAATCCAAAATGTGATTCATTAGGTCAGTGCTAGGGCCTGACATTCTGAATTTCCAGTGAGCGAGCTGGAAATCCTGGTTCCTATCCCATACCAGCAAGGCTAGAGAAAAATGCTTCTCAAACTTTAGCCTGCATTACTTTCTCCTGGAGGGCTTGCTGTAACCCATAGGCCCAGGCTCTGTCCTAGAGTTTAGAATCTATAATTCTGAGAATTTGTATTTCTGACAAACTTTCAGAGGATTCTGATGTTCCCCACTGGGGTAACCCAATGCCAAGAATCAGTTCTCTCATGGATGCTAATGTCACACTAAAACAGAAAAAAAACAAAAGAAACATCTGAAGTTTTGTGATATTTTCCCAGAGTTCCCTAGATAGGAGAAGAGGAAGGCTTAAAAAAAAAAAAGCAAACTATAACTCTTCAGAATTTACTGTTTTATGATGCTCTAATGAAGTGTTGATTGAACTACAGACATCTGATCTATTTTATTTCACTTCAGGTAATGACTAAAATTTAACTATTATATAGAAACCAGAAAGCAGATGACATAAAGAGGTGGTTAGAGATGAGAATGGGTTAAATAACCCAGCACTATTTATCTACAAGTCATTTAGCCAGTAGGCTGAAAACATATTTTAGTTGATTGTGTGCTGAAGGACGAAAGATACTTTTCCATTGATTTGGTTTATTTTAAATTGAATGATCCAACTCATAGAGTTGGTTGCCTTTCCTGGTAAAAGTTAAGATGCAAATCAAAGGCAAATTGAAATTTAACTTAGAATTATTGACTACCTTTTTAAACAGTAACAACCTTTTCCAGCAAATTTTATAAAAGCCAATAAATTGGTTCAATGATTCACTGTTCATTTGTTACATAATAGTCTTTGGTGCTTGGATAGAAAATGTAATGGAAAGACGGAAAAGGGGAAGCTAGGAAATGGACTATAAAAACCAATTTCTACATTTAAATTAAGCTTACAAATAAGAACCTGACAGCTAGCAGAAATTGTTTTTCCATTAGACATTACTCCCAGGAGCTATATTACATGCTAAGTGAATATTTTTCATTATACGTACTGTATGACACATTCATAAATGGCTATTTACGGAGCTGTTTTACCACGAACTTAAAAAAATAGAAACTTTGAATTACCCTCTGTGCAGCTCTTATTTTAAGCATAAAAAACAGTCCTTTATTGTTCCTCGTTCTTCTGCCATTGAATTCCTTATGGTTTTCTTTTTCCTTAGAATGCAATGAGAGCAACAGTTGAACACCAGGAAAACTGCCCTTCCCTTACGCCAATTGAAGTGATTGTTGTCTTGGGAAAAGAAGACCTTACAATTAAGGTAACTGTTGTCTATCTTTTCTTTGGCTTTTTCTTGAGAGAATTTTTTAAGGGTCAGTAATAATAAGGCTCCATATTTTGGAGAATGGATCAAAATCCTGTATATCAGATGACTCAGAGTGAAGGAAAGGCTTTTTATATAAACAAGTGTGCATTGTTTTTGTTGTGTAGTTCTGATGACTTGTTTCTATCAGATTTCTGACAGAGGAGGTGGTGTTCCACTGAGGATTACTGACCGCCTCTTCAGTTACACATACTCCACAGCGCCAACACCTGTGATGGATAATTCCCGGAATGCTCCTCTGGTAAGACCAGTCATATGGCTAAATTCATCCCAGCCTCCTAGTTCTAAATGTAGGGCGAGGACCACTAAGAAGAGTTTAGACAAATTAATCAATCTAGTTAAATTACATGTGGGGAACATGAGAAAAAATAAGAAATCAAGCGAAACAAGGTGAAAAAGAATGCTACAAGGGGTCCCCGATTGGAAGCAGAAGATATTTACTTATTAGGTTCTAAGACCTAAGCATCAATGAGGATCATAACTCTTTCTTGCATTTTATATTCCACCAGTCACCTCCACTTCTATACTAATGACTGATTTTCCTCCCTCTAGGCTGGTTTTGGTTATGGCTTGCCCATTTCTCGCCTGTATGCCAAATACTTTCAAGGAGATCTGAATCTCTACTCTTTGTCAGGATATGGAACAGATGCTGTCATCTACTTAAAGGTATTCTTTGAATTCAGTAAAAAAATCCTGTTTCTAAGATGATTATTTCTTTGACAGTTCTGAGTTCTATTGTCAAGAGTGAATTCCTTAAGCTGAATTAATGCAAATATGTGACCACAAGTCATTCATTCTATTTTCAATTTGAATGTGTAAGCACAAATCATTTTTATGGTAACTCACTAAAGAGAAAGCTAGACCTTATTGCCTAACATGAAGTGAAGTTGTTTCCCAAGAAGAATACCAAAGTTTCAGAGTGACAACACGCTCATATCAATTTTTTATGGCAACTTCCTCTTGGCATCTGAGAGAGTAGATGTATTTTTGTATTACTGAAACTTGTGAAAAATAAATGTTAATAAAGTTCTAGCCTACAAAACAACAGAAATCAAGACACTCAAGACCTTAATCTGACCTTATTAGAAACCCAAGGAAAGGAAATCTGACTGCTCACACTGTCAGCAGGATGCCAGACATTTCCTATTTGAACTTTAAAACCTGGGGCATGTATCTTTCTATTTGAAATTAGGTTTCAATTTATTTGTGAAGATCACTGTCCTGATTCTGTTAATCATTTGCCAACTATTTCAACTGAAAACATATTTACCAATAAAACAACTGAAACATGAAGCTTCTGGGTTCCCATTTTGCTTTTGACTTAAATGCCAAACGGACTTTGTCAGAAATAGTTAGCTGCACCTTTCTGAAATTGCCATAAAATCTTTAAACCAATGGGAAAGAGCTTCTTAATAAATTAATAATATCAGATTAAGATGCTCACTTTATCACAGATTCAAACTATTGGAAGCAATAGTTTTGCTGTTCAGTTCTGTCTTACCAACAGTATCCAAAGGACATGTGTAAATATGGAACATAAATTCTGTTCCATAAATTGTAATTACATATGTACTATTTTCAGCACCTATTGAGTGGAAATAGTGTTTAGCTTTGTTCTATAAAGTGCCTAACACATGGTAGATATTAATGGATTCTTACTATAAATGAGTGAGGTGAGTGTATTTGAATATTTTAAATACTTACCTTTGAATGAATTTCAAATAATTACTTAAAGTGCAGATCATGCCACCATAATTTCTTTGGTCTGATATTTTTTTCCCTTTTCTTTAGGCTTTGTCTTCTGAGTCCATAGAAAAACTCCCAGTCTTTAATAAATCAGCTTTCAAACATTACCAGATGAGTTCTGAAGCTGACGACTGGTGTATCCCAAGCAAGGAACCAAAAAATCTGGCAAAGCAGAAAGTGGCCATGTGAAGAGGGACATTCAGGACACTCTGTGGATCAAAGTGGGTCTAGGGCAGTGTTGCTTCTTGAACGTTTGTGTGTGAAGTCTTGTTTCCACAAAAACAGATCACAGCAACAGAAACATTCATCCAGTGAGGAATGGTGTTTGTTTCCGTGACCCAGGAGAAGACAGGGCAGAACTATAGGAGCCTTGTTCTGCAATGTAGAATGACTCTTCCGTGTACTGCAGATCCTGTTTTCCATCTCTTATCAGTAGGCATAGAGGAGTAAAAATGAAGACAGATGTTAGCAGTTTCAATTGGAAGATATTTTAGAACATCTTGTTGGTATCAAAAGATACTGGTACTTGATGAGTATCAAGTGTTAAGATACCAAGATTTTCCTGCCGTGCAATGGATGAAGTTTAGTTTACACTATGTGATTAGAAATGTATGTAAATGTACATTTCATTGATACTGGATTTATATGCCCCAGGGAGAAAGGGACAGTGACTAAAATATTGGGCACTGTAGTTAAAAGAGGAAGAAGGAATCAAAACGTTTTATTCACAGTTGCAGCCAAGACATTGGGCCTCTTTTGATCATCACTACTCTTTTATCATGCTGCTTTTTCTATTCCTATTTCATGCAATAAGCCAGTGCTTATTGCCAGGTGCCCAGTCTTGGGTGAATTGTGAAAGGTGCACCGAATTCAGGAAGTTGGATATTGTAGAGAGCAAAGAATTGCCAAAGTGACAGCAAAACTACACCTTACCTTACTTTGCTTATAAATGAAACAGTAGGTTGGAAAAACTATTGTTAGGGAGAGAAATCTCCTATTCGGCACCTAAACTCAGTAGAGTTTAAGACTGTTCTCCACCACGAAGTGGTGATAATGCAAAAGCATCCGTTTCTTAAGTTTTAAAAATGGTATTGTTGCTACATTGGATTATATTCTGTACACTCCAGCATTAACATGGCTGTTAAACATTTTCCACTTGTCATATGTCCCAAGAACATTAGAATTTAAATACTTTGTGGAGCATTTTATAAAAACAAATAACCTGGAAGTAAGAAGTTCTCATGCCCAGGATGCTTTCATCCAAGAATCGCTGGGAGTGAGAGCTCGTGAGTGAAAGCTGTAATGCAGACAGCACTGTAGAGAATTGAGACTCTGCAGGTCTGCAGCTATTCAGGCAAATCTCTCTTAGATAAGAAGTGAATAAAGAAATGAAAGATGTAAGGGAAAGAGAAAGGGAAGAAATCAGAAGGCGGGCATCTACCTATTCTCCCCACAAGCTATTCCAAGGATTGATTTGTGTTTTCATGAGTAAATGATGGACCAGAGGATGAATTGGTGTCTTTCAAAGCAGTGTACCTTCTTTTAGTGGCTCCCACACTTACAAGGAAATCGATGTATCTTGAGATAATAAACTCACCTGTGTTAAATCGTGTGTAAGCTAGCACATAGGAAGAAACCTAGAACTCTGCATTGCTCAGCACTGTTTGTATGTTGAATTTAACATCTATCTTTCATGTTGTGATGACCTAGAAGCTAGGTCTTCAAGAGTTATGGTGCTTCTGGTTGTGGCAAGAGGGGCCTCAACCTTTCCTTGTGCATTTCAGATATAATCACCAGAAGTCCTCAACCGTGACTTTTCTTGATGGTGGGACTTTGACTGTGCACTTACCAATTACACAAAACTGTTTGCAATGGGTTGTCTGTTGTTTCGGTTTCTGATTGAAATTTGAGTGAAATATGTTTGCATGTAAATATTTGTATTTACCAAAGATTTGGAGCAGTTAATTAATTAACCCAGACACTACAAACTATCTTTGAAATACTAAAATGTGAATAAAAAAGAAAAGGTAGTAACTCAGTTACATCATCTGTGTAAGTAAATAAAAAGTCTACTTTGGTTTTTGTGGAGTAGATACAAGACCCTTAGGATTCTAGTGGTTGGCTACTAAGTGCTCAGGCCCACATAGATTATTAATGTATGAGTTCTGTTCTCGTCTTTGAGTTATGTACAGAGAAATGTGATAATTTTTATAATAAATATTTTTAGTATTAACTCATGGTCTTCCAGTTCTTGAATTATCTCAAAATTCAATGAGTATTGAGTTAAAGGGGTTCTTGGTGTTACATTCAATATTAATTAATCTATAAAATTTGCATAGCCTTGGGAAAGTATTAAAGCAACTTACTATCTTAATTTTTTAAAAAATATAAGTGATTTATGGCAGTTTAGAAATTCCAGATTGTCTTTACTAACACATAATACCATACTTGATCTTAGCCAAAAGGCCGAGAAGCGATTAACACATAATACCAAGATGTGTTTACGTACATATATTTATCCCGTAGTTATTTTTGGAATGCATGTGTTTCTAGCATTCTTTTTCCATAAATATACAATTTCCATAGTGTCTCAGTTTGCATAAGTACAGTGAGGTATCAGATTAATTTCCTAGATTTAGTTTCCCAAACAACTTCTAGATTCAAAATCTGAATAATGTTAAAGTAAAAATAGGATGAACATTACTAAGTTAATTTGTAACACATACCACCTTTACTATTTTTAGGGTCATCCTTTGCTAATTTCATTCTTCTTTCCCTTTAGAAAACAGCCTTTGCTCACTTTCATAAATTCCCTTCCTGGCAAGATTCCACAAATAAGAAAAAAGAGGGCAGGAAGAAATTAGAATAAATGAAATTAGTGTGATGAGTTTACCATAATTAAATTCTAAAATCTTGTCAAAATGATCATATTTGAAGCAAAAATACCATGAACCCTAAACAACCTATACTAAAGCTCTTCAGTGACTCTGTCCTTCTGCTTAAGGGCAATCATTTCTTCTGCCTCTTGTGAAGGAGTATTGCTCTATATCTCTGTCTGGAAAGAAGTATACCACCGTACACACACATCAACAGCAGCATCACCATCACTGTCATCAGTTATAGCTGTACAATTTTTCTTGATTCAAAATGCTTTTCAGGTAGGGAGATAGTGTATTGCATGGGCTTAGAAACCTTACATGTTTCCATTATAATTGCAAGAAACTGAGGCCTATGACTCTCCTTGTGTGCACACATGTATCTTTTTGACTCATGTCAATGTGTGTACCCCAAGAGACATTTAGAAGTTCAACAAAATGGGCCAAACCTTCATCAAAACTATCTCTAGGTCATTCTACCAAGATTTAAAATCTGGCTAGGAATAGTAAGATCACTTGCTCACAACTATGACTTTTAAAAGGAGAGATACCATTGTGAGCTAGCAGCCTGACTTTGATCATTTCTTCAAGCTCCTATTACACTTCCAAGATCACATTCACATTTAGATATATACTAGCACTGAAAAATATGTGGAATCACCTGGTCACTTTGTTCTGACCCAGTGGAAGAGTAGAGGTACTTTTATAAATTGCACAGGAACCCATGTAAGAAATGCTAAACTTCTACCATGAGCACTTACTGCAATAGTATGAGTATTTAAACATCGCTTTTATAATTTATCACATTTTTTAGATTTTATTACTTACATCACAATTACTTTGTGTATCAGTCAGGGTTCACCAGGGGAATGGATTTAATATTATTTATATATGACACATGAAGGATTTACAAGGTACACTTAAAATGGCTGCCTGCAGAATTGGAAGAACGCAAAAGGCCAAGGCCTAGAGCTCCCTACAGAGTCCAGTGAAAGTCTGTCCTGGAAAGCTCAAAATCTGGATTGGAAGGCTGAAGAGTCTGCACTGGACGCCTGGAGACAGATATCCAAAGGCAATGGCAAAGACGGAAGTGCCTCCAAAGAAAAAAAGCAAGACTTCCTTTCCCTTTCCCTTTTTATTCCATCCAAGCTATTGTTTGGTGCCACTCACACACAGGGTTGGTTTTCCTTTTTCAGTAAATCAGTCATCCAGATGCACCCAGAACTGTGCTAATCTGTTAGGCATTTCTTATTCAAGTTGACACCACAATAAACTTTCACACTTAGAAACTCAATACATATTCACTGGATAAATATGTGAATAAATACATGAATAAACTTCTGGCATAGCATTACTGCAATTAAGGGCAAATTAAATGCTGTATTAAATAATTATGCATAAGCTTTATTAAATTTTATGTTTTAAGGGATATTCAAGAAATTTTACAATATTTTAGTAACTGGATTATGCTTCAAAATCAGTTAAACTGTAATTGATCTTTGTTCAACGTCACTCGCCATTGGTGGTCTTTGACCTTTGAAAGTTATTACAGATATTAAATAATGGCTACAGATATGACTACTTCTTGAACATGTAGGCTAGTGTTTCTGATATTATAAGTATTCTGTCTTGCTCATCTTTCCTGCTATTGAAATCATATTTCCACACATACAACATAACATCTTAGTGGGAATGAACAAGTGTCTTTTGATGAGATTTTTCAATTCATTCCTAAGTATAAACAAACAGTAAAAGCCACTCAGCCAACAGAAATGTCGTTGGCCTTGAAAACATGCTGAATCTATTTAATGATGTGAAAATGATATGAGCTGGCTTATTGATAAATCCAGCAATAAAATAAAGTTCATCAACAAATTATAAGACATATTTTAATATTTGCTACTCTTTAATGTAATAGCACAGGACTGGTTGCCAAATAATACAACTAGTAATTATTTATTATATACCATTTTCTGTAAATGTAAAAGTTTGCTTTAATATCTATGTCAGTTTGTTGAAAGGTAAATCTAGAATTTTTATCCATTCTATAAAGCTGTGCCTTTTAGTGTATTTCTAATAAAAAAATATGTTTTGACATCTGGTAGAATTGCCAATAGTCTTTCCCTTTTAATTCACTTTAAAGATAATTTTGTTTAAAATTATAAATTACCTTATCTGAAATAAAATTACAGGGGGCTGGGAATTTAGCTCAGTGGCACAGCGCCTGCCTGGCAAGCGGGAGGTCATGAGTTTGATTTCTGGTACCAGAAAAAAAAACAAAAACAAAAACAAAACAACAACAACAACAACAACAAAATGAAATAAATTACAAACTTAAAAACAAAAAACTTACACTGAATTCTTAGACAATTTTCTCTATTTAAAGTCCAAAGTTTTCTCACCTAATTAAATGACGTCTTACTATAGAGAAAATTAAAAGAAGTCTTACTTTAGAAAACTTCTAAAATCTTTGAATCTAAATTTACAAATAATTGCTTATGAATACCCTGATTCTAACCTCTCTTCATTCTACCTTCATAGCAAGTACCAGATTAATTCTTCAAGAACAGATTTTTTTATAAAATCACTTCCAAGTTCAAAATCCTTTACTGGCTTTCCAATACTTAAGAAGATCATATTTGTAGTGTTTTACAATCCAATCTACATCACCAACCTTACAATTTCTGTTTTCCGCTACTGAATTATATTCAGTATGTTATCTTCTAAATACTAAAAAACATGTATTTCCTTTTTTCTGAAGGGCTCTTCCTTTCCTCCCTTTTCTCTAAATGCTGTTCATACATCTAGGCTTATCTCAAATTCCACCTTCACACACTGGGTATCCCCACCCCCTATAAGTTCTCACATGATCAGGACCATTATAGCACTTCTCACATAATTCCTAAGCTTGATATTTAAATGCTATGGATGATAGATAGATAGACAGATAGATGATAGATAGATAAATAGATAGATAGATAGATAGATAGATAGATATAAAGTGTAGTAATCCAACTTGTCTTCATTCATGAATTATATATACCTAGATAAAAAAAATGACATTAAACCTTTTTCATGTATCCAGATATTTTTTAAATATTTCATGGTTAATATATTTTTGATGAACAAGGAAAACAGAGAAAAGCAATGGAAGAATTATTAAATGAATAGATTATTCTATTAATCTAAAACCAAACCTACTCATCTTAATATTTTTAATGGCATCAGTTCTTCTTGTCAATCATTGAAGGATCTGTATTGATTTTCAGAAGGACTGCAGCTGTAGTATAGATACATGACTAAATCGAGCCTTATATTTCTGGCTTAATGCTAGACCTTTACCACAAAAAAACTTAGAGTACTACTAAAAATTTAAAGAGACAAAACATGAATATATGACAAGTTATATCATGACCAAGGGTTTTAATGACAGTTCAAATCAATAATACAGAAGATGCCATAATTCTTAATACAAAGTCAGGAAAATGTTCCAAGATTAATTACTACAAGAAAATCAGAGTTGGAAAGATGCTTTCAGGCTAATGCATCTGGATGAAAACAGGACAATTTATGTGAGAAAATGGAAAGATGGCTGAAGAGTTTCCAGGGAGAAGCTTGGAAAGGAAAGTCTGAAGACAATTTAAATGTCTAGGAATGGTACCTGGGACAGCAAGGAGCCAGCCTCTAGGAAAATAAAAGGAACAAAATGGTCCTATTGATTAAAATCTTAAGACTGTGTGTTTCACTGTGACTCTATTTTCAAAACCCAATGTAGCTGTCAGGACAAAGTTCTGAAATTTAATATTCAAATAATGAAAGACAACATCTTTTTTATGTTAACTGATGAGTGAAAACTGGATTTCACTTGTGTCATAAGTATCAGTCACATAGACTCTGGAGCCAAAGTGCGTTCACTTTGTCCCAGCTCATCAACTTAAGTTGCTTAACAGTTACGTTACATATCCTCTGCCTCAGCTTTCTGATGTGTGAAGTGGGGATAACATTTTGGAGCCTCTTCTTTACAGAGCTGCTGTGAAAATTAAGATAAGTTCATATACAAAGCATTTTTACCAGTGCTTGGCACATAAAAAATATTTCATAGATGTTAGCTATTTTATCAAAATATAACATTCAAGTATAAGACACTGTATTTTTATATTAAATTCCTGTACAAATGAGCTGATAACAATAAAAATACAGTCCTACAGATATGAGGTCATGAAGTGTGAGCATGTAATGCGTTAATGATAATAACAAATTTGTTCTAATTTTCCCATTGCCTGCTTATGACCCTGGAGTTTCATTCTGAGGTCAAAGAATAGTCTATGATCCAAAACTGCTGAAACCTGACCAGGAA